GATTTCTGATGCTATTTCAGACGATTGTAGTTTTTGTAAACAGTGTTTGTAATTTTTGCGGGAGACGTATTTACATGTGTACGAATATAAGTATGTATGATGATGTTTAAGACGATTGTTGTTTTTGTAGAACAATATTTGAAGTTTTCGCGCATATGTATGTATATGTGTATTTACAGGTAGAGCACCGCGCGCATGTTATTTCACTGATAAATGATAATATCTTGATTTTAAATTGATTTGTACTTACATTTGTATGTACATACATATCTGCAGGAAAGATGCGTATATATATATGTAATATACTAAGTTTTTTAAGATATTATGATAATATATCACATATGTACATACATACATATGTAGCAAATATATGCATACATGCATATGAAATTATATTACATTATCAAAGATAAGTAATATTTCAAAAGAAGCTCATTTGCCCATTAACTACAAAAATCGGTTGGAGAATTGTATAAATCCTGCCGAGCCAACAGTGGTGAAATCCACTAATAGCAAATTCATGGCTCTTGACAGTTCACACGCTTGTCCGTAGTTGAACCTTCTCTATATTATACGTACTCTGATGGTGGTGACCACTACCCAATAATAACTGAAATTGCAACGTCATCCTTTGCAAAGGCTTTTCCTAAACCAAAGTTCCTGACAGGTAAAGCAGACTGGTCTAAGTACATGCAAAAGGCAATTCTGTTCTGCGATCAAACCCCTGTATCTCAAAATGTCAATAAAGAGGCGGCAAATATCACCAAAATATTAAGGTCTGCAGCGCACCTTTCAATTCCGCAAACTATTTCTAAACCCCATAAAAAGTAGTTCCTTACTGGTCAAAGGAGTTGGAGGCTTGAGAAATTTAAAACAGCATAACTGGAGACAATACAAGCGTTCAAGAACAGAAGACATCCTGATTTTATACAAGAAAGAAAATGCTATTTTTCGTAAGAAAACTAAAGAAGCAAAACGAATGTCCTTCGAAAAACTTACCACAAAAATAAATCCCTAGTCTAATCCTAAAAAGATTTGGTCGGACATTAAAATGCTAACTGGMTCAACTTCCCAAGTCAATATAAATTTTGTTAATAGCCCAACTGGTCCAATAWTCGATCCCAAGGCGATAGCTGAACAGTTTGAATCCACTTGGTCTACGTATTCTAGCGACGGCAACTTTAGTTCCGCTTTTATAGATAAAAAATATGAAAGTCTGAGTCGCAGCTAATCAGCTTAACTCACCAGCTAAAATAATAGAATCAGAGATCACTTATCTAGAATTCGAAAGTACAATATCTGCTCTGCCAGGTAAAACTCCTGGCGGAGATAGAATTTCATACGATATGATAAAAAACTTGCCTCCACCGCTTAAATTACGATTAATCAATCTGTACAATCAAATATTAACGGACGGAATTTATCCACAAAACTGGAAAATTGCAACAATTGTTCC